TATAATATTTTCTAAATATTATTAGAAATATTTTCTATAGAAATATACAAGATTATTATTATCCCAAATTTTAATCTTTATATTTTATACTACTATAATCTTTACTAGCATAAAGGTTGTGGTAGACTCCGGCGTTGTTCGTGTGTCAAAGTTGGAGACCGGACGCTTGAACGGTTACGTTTGCACTTTCAACGCTCTTCCTACGACTTCTTCGTTTTTACCGCTTACGGAGAAAGGTATAAATTTCTTACTCACTATAAGTTTTAGTACGTGATTCTGGGCAAGATAATCATGTTAGGATATTAAAATTTTTATATTTCGCTGTCTATCCTTGCATGGTTACCTTTCAAAAGGAGTCATTCCTTTTCAATATTTGGGCTGTAAACTCCATAAGGGGATCACAAGAATGGCACACTGCACGGATCTCATAAAGCACATTGAAAAAAACATCAAATCTTGGCACAATAAACACCTTGGACCCATGGGAAGATTAATTTTAATCAATCACGTGCTTATCTCAATTCCAATCCACCACATGTCCTCTACTAACCTGCCAAAGCGGGTCATTAAACATATACATTCTCTAATGGCAAGATTCTTTTGGGCTGGAAATAGAGGTAAGGCGTACCACGGGAGGAGTTGGGATTATCTTTGCAAACCATTGAAGAATGGAGGGGCTCGGTATAAGACGGATGGACCTTCTTCAAACTGCCTTCAACACCAAACTGTGGTGGGAATACAAACATGGTAGTTCCCTTTGGAAAGATTTTCTGGTGGCTAGGTATCCCAAGGAGCTCTAGGGGAGAGTTTATCAACACTATTCCCCTACATGGAAAATCATTGTGGACATGGAACATAGATGGAGTTACTTAACTGATGATGAACTACAGGAAAAGATGTGCTCCAATGGTTTATTTAAAATCATGAAGGTCTACGAACTGATACAGGAAGACGCCTCTCACTCTTGGTCCTCAGATTATATATGGCAGCCAAAGCAGTCTGGTAAAATCTCTATGTTTCTTTGGAAACTTACTAACCACTACTTACCGTTTCCTGAAAATCTCAAAAGATTTAATGTTAATCTTCCCTCAATGTGTGCCTTCTGTAAGAATGATATTATCAGTGGCTTCCATACTCTTTTTGAATGCCCATGGAGTAGACATATTTGGAATCATTTTTCCTCTTTGCTTGATGTTCCCCCTACACAGGGAAGGGGAATTCTTTCATCTCTATTCCATTGGTGGCTTCAACATAATGATAACTCCATCTTTGGAAAGCTTATTGGTATTATTCCAGGGATCATTTGCTGGAATATTTGGAAATCTTTTAACAACTATCTATATGATGGAGATCAGCCAGTCACAATCAAAACCATACAGAGGATTACCTTTGATATTTTTAACTGGAGCAGCAGTTTAGAGGGCAGCAAGTTGGCCCAATTCCCCTCGCTTTAAGTATAGCATCACGTATGGGCGGGAAAAAATTCCCCTCGCTTTAAGTATAGTATAGATGCCACATATACATCATCCACGTGTTTCCCAATTATGATTCAATTTATTCATATATTAATTCAAAGCTCCTCAAAAAAATGTAATGTGAATGCATTGTGGCTCGAGATATATGCACCATGATTATTTGTCTTTTAAATTTTATTCAATTTATTATATTAATTAATGAATTAATATATAA